CAGTTAAATATTTTACCCTTTGTTCTCCCTGTGTGATCTACAATAATAATCTGCTTCGTGTTGATATTTACTGCTGTGTTGCTGACAATTACCTGAAAGAGGAGTTGGGGTGCTTCACTGAGCTGGAAAAAGTTTAGCTAAATCAGAAAGCAGGTCTAATTAAGCAAGTTTATTCTATATCTTTAAAAGGCTAAGTTGACTCGCACATGCATGATACATATAAAGCTCTCACTGGCACCAATCGCATGCATGTGTTTCGATCTGTCATTGATCATGAATTTGGTTGACACTTCTATTTTAGAGAAAGGGTGAATAACGATATTAAAATATTTCTTCTAATTAATTTCCTTTCTTTGTGCACATATCCATGCACTGGGACACTAGTTATAATATAATGTTAAGAGCTCAAGTTCTAAATGTCAGTTTCTGGCTCTATCACCCACTAGGTGCTTGACCAAGGGGGGGGGGGGAATCACATAACCTCTCTAAATACTGTTTTCTCGTGTAGAAGATAGAGACAATAATGGTAAATATTCATTTAATCTTTATTTACTGCATGAAACTGCATTAGAATAGTACCTGGCACATATGAAGTACTAAATAAATGTTAGTTATTGTTAAATTCCTGTTAATTTTCTGAGGAAAATGCAGAAAACTAAATGATCATAAAACATTACATTTCAGCTAAGAATGATAAATTTATTGATAGTATAGCACTAAAAAGTAGGGTAGTGGGCTAACCTAGGTTACTTAATAATTAGGATCTAAAATTGATACATCAAGAAATAATGGAATAAGGCTATTATTTAGACTGTAACTATAAAAGCCAGAAGATAGTTAAAAGAAAGTAACATGTCTGTCTAAGGAGTGGTAATGGGAAGGAGAAGAGTAGAGCAGGAATCTCCTTTTACAAAATAAAGCTTTAGTACTATTGGATATTCACACATGTGCATGTATTATTTTAATAAAAACAAAAATTTTTTAATGTAAATACCTATTGTATAAAGCAATAATCAGCAAACTTTTTCTGTAAAGAGCCAAACAGTAAATATTTTAGGTATTGCAGGCTATCTGGTCTCTGTCACAACTACTCAACTGGCATTTTAGCATGAAAGCAGCCATAAACAATCTACTTATATAAAAACCCTGGGTGTAACATCACGTCCTGAAGCTCTACCAACCAGAAGGAAGTCAGTCCTGCAGGGGTCCTCTTGGAAACGGCTGTGCCCTCCCCCAGCTGTTTCCCAGAGGGCGAGGTTTCAGGCAGGAACTCGCCCTCGGGGCAAGGTTTCAGGCAGGAACCCGCCCTCGGAGCGGAGCGTGGAAGTACTGAGTCCTGGGTTGCCTTGCCAAGGGCTGCGCCCTCCCCGAGCTGTTTTCCGAGAGGCCTGAGGGAAGAACCCACCCTCAGAGCGCCAGGAGCACCCAGCAGCAGTCATTCCTGGGTTGCTGAGGCAGAGGCCACAGCATGGTAGAACTCTGGGTCTGGCCCAACAGGGGACGTGACTGGCCTTCAAACCAGACCCTGACAGTAGGGAGGAGGCAGCCCCATTCCTCACAGAATCCGCTGTTGGAGAGCTTTCTGTCAGTGGTCTGCCAGCCAGGAACCCCATTCACCTGCACCCCAGACCCTGATAGGAGAGAGGAGGGAGCCCCATTCTTCACGGAATCAACAGGTGGCCAGCTTGCTGTCAGGGGCCTGCCAGCTAGGAATCCTATTCACCTGCATATCTGTATAAAGTTTTAATACATTATATTAGAGGTCGTGGTGGTACTGTTTTACCCA